CTCTTCCAGCTCTATTATTATTATTATTATTTCCTTATCATTTTTTTTCGTGTCAGGAGCAACTTGAGAAACTGCAAGTTGCTTCTGGTCTGAGAGAATTGGCCGCCTGCAAGGACATTGCCCAGGAGACCCCTGGATGTTTTACCATCCTGTGGGAGGCTTCTCTCATGTCCCCATATGGGAAGCTGGAGCTGACAGACAGGAGCTCACCCCACTCTTAGATTCGAACCGCTCGGCAGTTCTGCTGGCACAAGGGTTTAACCCATTGCGCTGCTGGGGGCTCCGAGGGTTAAGATGATGAGGACAGAGAAAGATGGAATACCAGCAAGGAACTGATAGCGTGCCTTTTGGTAAAACAGACTCACAGGCTCGTCTTGTGGGCACAAGGGAGAGAGCCTTCTCCTCTGTGGCTCCCCGACTCTGAAACTCACTACCTGGAGAGATCACATAAGCCCCTACACTAGAAACAGTGAAAAAGAACCTTAAAACCTGGCTCTTTTGCTGCGCCTTTGGCAAGTAGGTGCACAACACAATTCTCAATGCTTCTGTCACTGGAGTACATACCCCCCCAAATGGGAAGTTTCATTTCACAACCCTGTGCATCTTTATGAGCTCCCTGCAAATAACTTGCTCCTATTTTTATCTCATTAGAATTTTAACATTTTATCCTGTACATGTGGCCCGCCCATTGTTTACTGCGACTGTGGTTTTTTGTTTATTGTAATGTTACTTTTTTCATGTAATTTTGATGATGTTGCTTGTTGTTTATGTTTTGGTTTTATTTTGATGTATTATGTTGTTTGGGCTTGGCCCCATGTAAGCCGCTCGGAGTCCCCATCGGGGAGATGGTGGCGGGGTATAAATAAAGTATTATTATTATTATTATTATTATTATTATTATTATTAAAACAGGATGCACTACGGAACAATTGCAGTCTGGGATCTCAGTTTTACTACCAATAGAGGTCAATTATTCATCTCTCAGCCTCCCTATTCCCCTCTAACATCTATATCAGGGGTCCTCAAATTAAGGCCCAGGGGCCGGATACGGCCCTCAAAGGTCATTTACTCGGCCCTTGCTCAGGGTCAACCTAAGTCTGAAACAACTTGAAAGCTCACAACAACAACAACAACAATCCTATCTCATAAGCCAAAGGCAGGCCCACACTTCCCATTGAAATACTAATAAGTTTATATTTGTTAAAATTGTTCTCATTTTAATTGTATTGTTTTTAAGTGTTTTTTGCATTACAAATAAAATATGTGCAGTGTGCACACGAATTCATTCATGTTTTTTAAAATTATAATCTGGCCCTCCAACAGTTTGAGGGACTGTGAGCTGGCCCTCTGTTTAAAAAGTTTGTGGACCCCTGATCTATACAATGGAGACGCTACTTCAAGAACCCTAAATCCAGTCATCTCTAGCCAGCAAACTCCTCATCATGAAGCATTATTGTTGTTGTTATTATTATTATTACTTATCATTAAGTAAAGAATGGATGGCCATCTGTCGGGGGTGCTTTGATTGTGCTTTTCCTGCATGAAGGCAGAAGGGGTTGGACTGGATGGCCTTTAGAGGTCCCTTCCAACTATTATTATTATAATTAGTATGATGACAATCTGTCCGCCTTACAGGAGGCCTGGTCCCCGTTGGTCTTGAGGGCGATGTCGTTTTTGTCCTGCCGGCCTTTGGCCCCAGAGATCTCCTCCAGCATGTGGATCTCGGAGAGGCAGAGCTTGGGGTTGTAGTGGAAGAAGAGCTTCCCCCGGGAGATGGTCAGGTTGTGCTTGTTCCAGTCCCACAGCTTTCGCAGGTTCTGGTTGTCCAGCGCGTAGAAGGAGTAGTTTCTGCCGGGAGGAGAGAAAGGACAGTCAATGGCAGAGTCCATCCACTCTAGAACCCGAAGCACACAACTACCCATTGCCAAAATGCCTTAGTATATAAGAATATAAACACAATATAATAATTATAATAATAATTATAATAATATACTGTTATTCCAGGTGAAGCCTGCCTCATGGCAGAATAGATACACTCAATGTTAGAATCCTTAATATAATAATAACATAAATATTATTATGTATTATTCACCAATACATTACACAGTCCCAGACACTTGGGAAGTATCCGACATGTGATGGAATACAAAAGTCAGCAAAGTGATCTTCCTTGCTGTGTACTCATCTTGTTGTGTATCAAATATCAAATAATAATAATATAAAATTAAAATAGTAATAATACAATAATATAAAATAAAACATAATAATATAATAATAATATAACCATAAACATAATAATAATAATAATAATATACTGTTATTCCTAAGGAGAAGCCTGATTCATGGTGGAACAGAAGGGGACCATAACTTCCCTTGAACTCGACGTTAGAATTCTAAATAATATAATATAATAAAATAATAATTATAATATAAAATAAAATAGCAATAATACAATAAAAATATAAACCTAATAATAAAATGGTAATAATATAATTGTATA